TACTGTGGGATTAAAGGAGATGACAATTGTAACGTATCCAGCCCAGTGTCCAGGTAATACAGTATTAGGAAGATTTTAACTTCTGGAGAATTCACACATGGGATTAGGAAATTAACCAGATGATTCATATTTCAAAGAGCCAAATACTGTGAAATGAATCTATATTTTTGTGGGAGAAATTTTTTAAGAGTCTCATGCTCTACCAACTAAGCTAACTGGGTGCTGCGCAGTGGGAGAAAGTTTTTTAAAAGGTTTATTTATTTAGTTGTACGGAACTGGGGTACAGGCCAGAGGTGCAGGGGTGATGAGAGGACTCACCAGAGACAGAGCATGGAATAGAACAGGCAGATTGACCAAGTACACTGCTGAGGGGAGCGGCAGGAGAGACAGGAGAGCTCTGCCTTACCATGTGGGTCAGCTCCCTAGTGGGTATTGAACTTGTGCTGAAGTGGCTGCAACTAGCTTCATAGTGTTGTGCTTTAATCCACTGTGCCACCAGGCAGAGCCCGAAAATTTTTTATTAAAAATATTTTGCTAAAAAAAATTAACTCAAAAGTTGTTATTAGATAAAGTAACACTTCTGACATGGACGTGTATTTATTTGTGCAATCAGAACTGAATCTATGCCAAGGATTAGCCAACCTTGACCCACTGTCTGTTTTTTTTTTTAAGATTTATTTATTTATTCATATAGAACTGGGGTACAGGCCAGAGATGTGGAGTGTGAGAGGCATCACCAGGGACAGAGTAGGGAGCAGAACAAGCAGATCGATGAAGTACACTGCTGAGGGGAGCAGCGGGTGGGTCAGGAGAGGTCTGCAGCGCCATATGGTCACCCCCGGCGCAGGCGAGGATAGAACTCATGTAGAAGTGGCTTAAGCTTCTTAATGCAGTGCTTTAACCCGCTGCGCCACTAGGGAGGGCCCACTGTCTGTTTTTGTAGAGTCCATAAACTAAGAGTGCTTTGTACATGTTTAAAATGATTGTAATAAACAACAAAAGAATAGTACCTCATGACATGTAAAACTTGCATAAAACTTGCATGATATTCACAATGCAGTGTGAAGGAACTGGGCTTGATCAGCACACAGTCATGCCATGTTGTTCAAACACTAAGTGGGGGAGGGTTTCCTGACTACAAGGCAGGGTGAATACTGGGCAATCCTATGTGGCCCGAAAAGTCTAAAATACTTTGGCCTTATAAGAAAAAGTCTTGTGATCCCCTGATCCGGGTTATTCAAACTGGCAAGAAGGGTTCATCTAGCCTACTCCCTCTTGTGTTTGTCTTAGACAGGAAATAGGCTTGCTCAAGGGCTGCTGTGGGAAAGGGCTTCTGGGCTCATCACAGGCACTCTGTGTGCTCTGCAGCATTTGGGCTTTTGGGATCAGGCCTCCAAGCCCATTCCTGTCACTGCAGGGCAGGTGCTAGGTAGCAAGGAAGGCGCAGGTGTGAGCGGTAAGGTGGAATGCATGTGGACAGATGCTGGCCTCTTGCTCAGACCAGCTGGGTTGAACTGGAACTTAGAGGCTGACCCAGGTAGCATCTGAGACCAGCCCCGTGTCCTCTCTGTGCCCTACTGCCCTCCCCCACCTCTGGAGGACACGGGGCTTCTATACTGGGGACAGATGCAAATGTAAGTCCCTGCTTGAACTTGGATAATTAAAGCTGACCTCCTGCCTGCTTCTGGAAGGTTTCCTGGAGGAGGTGTTGTGGGCCCCTTCACCTGGCTGGGGTTCAGGGTCAGGACCCTGAGCCCGGCCCCCTGGCATGCCTCCACCCCCCCTCCCCTGCTAGGAAGAGACCCTGGCCCACTACAGTGGCATAGAACATTC